CTCTCTCTCTCTCTCTCTCTCTCTCTCTCTCTCTCTCTCTCTCTCTCTCTTCTGTTTCCTTTAGGCAATGGCTTCATCGTGATTTGATGTTGTTGTTGTGACCTGGGAGTCCCTAAATCCCAAATCGTATAGCTTTGGAAATCCTGGAAATACCTGGAATTCTAGGACTATTTCACCAAAACGTCTTCAGGTGCCCAGGCACTGGATCAATAGCTTTACATCTTTTTTTTTTGTTTGTTTTTTCCTGTACACAAAGAAAGAAAGACTGAATATTAGCAATAGTTGCTGGCCATCCACCATCGCTTCACCAAACCTGCTGAGACCAAGAGGGCGTGACCTTTCTGCATGCTGACTTCAAACAGACACTTGAAAAGGAACCCCGGTCAAAGMGGCATCCGTGCATTGGGATCCCAAACCAAAAACCCCATCAGGTAAGGCTGTGAAGACCCCCTTGCTCCTGCTGTCCAAGACCTAAGCTCTTTAACATTTTCAGGGCTTTGAAGCTAACCTGGCCCCCACATGGTCATTTTACCATTAGATTTGGTGTAAAGGAAAGCAGATAACTGCCATGCTTTCATTTTCTGCACTGTTTGTTCATCTCAGATTAGAGGGTCTGAATTGGTTGGACTTGTATGGTTAACGGCTGCTAACATGGGTTCTTCGTTCTACAGGGATGGGATTTGGCTCATCACCAGCTCAGGGTTGGTGTGGGGGACTTATTAAATTATATAATATACACAAACATGGCTTTAGCATGGCTCTGTTTTCTGTTAAAGACAACACAGTGTCACTGAGACGCATCTATCATAATTACATCTTTATTGACACACATTCATAAATGTTAAAAAAAGAAGCCAACATAAATCACATTTTTCATAACATGAAATATTATTGGAAAAATGCTGTGATTGTGCAAAGAAAATGGCAGTAAATGTCACCATCCGTTAAACAGTTGGTTTGATTTAAAACTAAGTAAGATGAGAAATGAAAATTTGTCATGTTTATTTTGTCTGAGATTTTTTTTATGTCTAAAGCCACCTATTTGGGTTACATTGAGATAAGCTGATTTCTTGTTCATTTAGCTCACTAGTAGGGAAAAGATGCTTTAGTAAAGAAGGGAAAAATCACAGGTGTGGACAGTGCTGCTCAGGAAAGAACTGACGCTGTTGTGATTGTTGTGGGCTGTATGTTAGTTTGTCAAATTACACAAATCTGGGCAAATTTTCTATACACTAACAGTGAACTTAAGTAAACGGGGAAACTGAAACTGCCTGAAACTCTCAGACTGAAGAAGTCTCTTGGAGAAGAGATGAAACGTTTCATTAGAGAAGAACCCGTCCAGAAGACCTATACAATTTTTTTTCTTTTTAAAGGGGAAAAACATTAAATATAGATTCAGATTAGCATTTGTTTTATTAAAGCTCAACATCGAMCTCTGTGAAGGATGGGCTCTCTAAACCATCTTGTTTCTTTATACAAACAGGATTTATGCAATCACCATAGAAATCTGCCTCTTTTCTACATTTTTAGGATGCAAAAATACTTTATGAAACAAATCTTCCATATTAATCCATCACTTATCTGTACATCACAGCATGCTGTACACATGTGCTAAGTTACCAGTGGTATTTCAGGGTTATTTTATTCAACACCAATAATTTCCCTGATCATTTAGACTAAAAAGTGACTCAGATGATTATATTTAGCTGACCTGTTCACATGATGTCTAATTATTGTAAAAAAAACCAAAACATGTCTCACAAATCTTTGTGGGCATTCACACAGAAAACATGTTTAAGAAATGTAAACATATCCAAAGAAATACATTGTTTACACTTAATAAAACATTGAATCAGAAATCTGCAAGAGCCATATTTCCAATTCTAACAGTTCACATTGTCAGAAGCTTTTTTTTGTTAGAAAAACATTTTTTTTGTTTTTTCAGTCAAGACTTGATTCCAAGTTACTAAATTAAATTATTCTGCTTGTTAAAGGAATCAACACGTTCTTTTCCTCTTGAGGCGACTTGGGCTCAAACAGTATTAACATTTATCATACGAGACGGCATTAGTTTTCACAGTGAAATAAGTCAGATAAGATTTAAAAAATACTCCAGCAAATCAAGTGAAACCTATAAAAAATGTTGAAACCAGCAGGAGATCTCAATAATAAGTCATAATTTGATAATGAGTCATTGCTGTGCTGGCAATGAGCAAATACAGGACAAAATTAATATTTCTTTTCTTGTTTTTTGTGGCTTCATCTTAAAATGAAACTTTGACAATAATGAGAATATTAATAACCACTGTTGAACAGATTAAAGCATGATCCGCAAAGTCTTTCCAGTGAAGTCTGAATTCAGACTGAAGCGGCCAGCTGCCTYACAAACAGGGAAACAATAATAGAGCAGAGTGAAGGAGTATAAGGGGTTTGTGTCTGGGGGAGAGCAACCTCCCACCCCTCCCCAGCCTGCATGCTGACGGAGCTGCGCTCCTCACTCAGGGCTCCAGGGCTTCGACACTCGACCTTATTTTTCATGTAGGCTGCGCTCTGTTCTTCTACAGTCATGGTTGCTCCCTTTGTGCCAGCCCTCCCCGTTTAAAAAAGAGACATGCATGATTTCATACATGAAAGATATATGTAATTGGACAGAAGGGCCAATGCAATAGATTTACAATTCCAAACAGAGCATGTTAGAACCACTTTCTCTCGTCCTTTCTTCTTACTGAAATATATTCACACACACACAAACACACACACACACACACACACAACACACACACACACACACCGAAACATATACACATGATCAAAAAGAAGGCAAAACAATAGTTAATCTTCTTGTTATATCTATAAATCTCATGTGAATGTGCGAACTGCTCTACACTCTACCAACATTTATCTCCTAACTGTCATTGTAGTTTAGGCAGTTTGTGGCAGCAAAAAGGAAAAAGCTGTGGGTTTTTTTGTGTGCACTTCAACATCTTGTTGTAAATACAATATTTAGGCACTTGATCAATTAATTCAGGCTCACTACTAATGTTTAATTGACAATAAAATCCGATTGCAATACCTATAACACACTGATTTCCTTTACAATGAATAGTGTTGTTGAATTTAGTAGAAAACAATATCAAAGTGGCCAAGGAATTGCAGCCTGGTGTTTCAGAGTTTGGATACTCTATTATATATTTTGRACTGAAACGAGAATCTTCAGCTGCTAATTAAAGGAAATTGTGTTGCAGACACGAGTTGTGTATTATCCTTTAAAGTCTTTGAAGCCTAACTAGCTACTTGTTGGAAAATTAYGGCTCCGACTTGAAATGAATGCAGAGGATTGAGTAATAGCAACAGAGTGGTCAAAAAATAGCTAAAACCTGCATGAAATTGATGCACTTTWATTTGTAAAACAATTGAAAAGACACACAATTTCAGGTTATTTCAAGCTGTCATGAAGTGAATTAATGTGTGATTTAATGCACAAATTTTAGCTTGTCAGCTATCAKAAAAATATCTAATCACTGCTGATCAGTTGAACTCATAAAAGATGAGACCTTTTAGAATTCAAAATATTTGATTTGTTTTTGTCATTATAAGCATCAAAACATGTTAAAGATGGTTGAAATTTGATTGCTGTATACCACAGTAATATTATAGAGTCACAACTTATTATCCAGGCATTTTAYAMATACAAAGYTGAAGATTAGTGTAGAAGTWGCCAAAAATCTCAAAAATTCAAGATGGCCACCAGAATTCTAAAAAGCAATAATCCAGCCATTTTAAAATGCATTGAGATGAAATTTGTGGTGAAGCAGCTAAGAATGATCACATGTGAGTTATCGTWACTAATCCCAAATTAAACTAACTTCTRATRCTAATTTTACAAAGGGCTGTAATTTAACCATTTTTATCACAAACATCTAAATAGGTTTGAGTACTGTAGTGTCGGAGAACAATCTTTAATCACATGTAAATGTAAACACAAATTCCAAGGTCAGTTATTTGGGGGYGACACCTGGGGTGGCCAATCAGGTGCCAGGGGTGTCCCTTGCCACCCCGGGCACCCCTCTGGATCTGCCCCTGGTTGTAACRCATGTTCAGTAGCAGGTTTCATGAAGTTATTGCATTACAAAAGTTTCATTTTGTCTCAAACTTTAAATCATCAAGATGTTTTGAGGGTTTTTTTGTTTTTGTTTTTTTGGAACTTAGGACATTTTTAATCAAACATCTGTGTATAGTTTCTGCTAATGCATCACCAACAACATTATGAAAGATAAAACTTTATGTWCTGGACAGACTTCTGGCTTTGTGATCAACTTTCAGCAGTGTACCTGTCATGCAAACATAAACACCATTACTGTTAACTTTTTTCACAAGCTGACACCTACAAAAAAAACAGCTCTACTAGAGCCACTTGTTTTTATTGGCTCCAGGAACAGTTTAAAGCTGCACCAGGGGGCTCACCTCTGCTGAGGATTTTTATGCACAGGGGCARAGCAGTTGATCAACACTGAAAGATCTGTGACCTTCACCTTTCCAATTTACCACATAGAACAGAGGGGTTGTCAGCCRCCTGCTCAACGTTTAGTGTCTGAAAACTTGCAGGGTTTAAACACTCCTCCAGTTGTACGAGTCAGTCTTCCAAGCACCTGTAGAGGCTTCAAATAAGCGGCCAGAATTTTATTTATTTTTTAATAAATCCCACATGTTTATGCCTATTTCTGTATAAACTGTATAGAAACAAACTGTGTGAATGGTCGTTTTGATGTGCACAGGATCACTTGTCACTGCCAAAAACTGAATACAAAAACACAAATCAAAAACACTCTCTGTATTAGTATTATTATTTTAWTTTTTGAGGCTGTGCATAGCTAATATTGATCATATTCATATCACTCATTTGGATCACAAAACACAACCTGTTTATTGTGTATTCCCTCTGGGGGGTATTTAATTGCAATTATTTTATCACTTCTGACATTCAGTGACTTATCGAAGGTCAAAACCAAAATCTGTTGCCGTCTTGTTTGACCCAAACAAGACAGATGACGTGATCCAGAGGCGGCAAGATCTGGATTTGACCCCAGGGGGAAATCCTACATCTGTACTTGCCTTCTGCGTTGCTTCCACTTGTCATCTTTCATCTCGTCGTGGTTTTTAGGAGCTCTTCTTGACATCAAGGAAAATAGCTTTCTGTAAGTACGTTACGTTTAAGTGAATATGCAGGGAGCAAAAAGTGGCATTAAAATAGGCTTGGCTTTGTAGGAATCTGTAATATACTCCCCCCGTTCACCCGCCACTTTCATTCTGTTTGGATAGGTTCACCACTAGCAAGCATGTAGCTGTTGCCTGAAGTAGTCATATGGCTCTGATTTGGGATCCCTCTGTTTCAGTGAGCCCCTGTAAAGCGCGTAAAACCCCATGAGTCCCG